TTAAAACTTGCCTTTTTATGTTTTGAATTTTCATTTGTAAAAGTTGTAATGGGAAATTGTGAATGGAGCTTGTTAAAGAAATGTAAGCGTGGTAACCATCTATGGACCGGATCGAGACTCTGCTCTTGAAAGTTATATTTTATGTTTAAGTTTGAAAAAAAATAAAAGAAATATTTCCAAAAAAAAAAAAGAAACAAAGAAAGAAAGAAAGTGTCCTCACATACTGTATAATAGTGTGGTACGCTGGTCTAACAGCTGCAGACAGGAAGGCACTACAGAGAGTGATCAATTCGGCACAAGAAACCACTGATTGTCCCCTCATACCAGTAGATGAGATCACCAGATCTCCTTCTTTCAGCAGAGTAAGGAAGATACTTAGGGATGATTCACACCCTGGCCAGTGTCTCTTTTCGCTTCTTCCTGTTCTGACCTAGGCTTCACAAAAGCACGAAGCAGACTCCTCGTCCCGACAAAACCCCTTTTTATTAAACTAATGTGAACGCCTCTCATTCACATCCAGCAACGTCCCGGCAAACAGTCTTTCAAGGGTGAATTTACAACCACAGACCTTATCAGGTTTGGAGAGCTGCCAGGCCGATATCTTCCAAACGCAAAGTTGTACAAGCAAATACTTGGCAAGACGTCTCTGAGAGTCACGAACAGATCTTCACACCAATGAAATGAACTAATTGTCTCCTGCATAGACCACTCCCCTTTCGCTCCTATTTATTTCCTATGGGAGGGGCCATTCCAGTAGTGAAATCCAAATTTTTTTTACTACCGGTTCTGTGGGCGTGGCTTGGTGGGCATGGCAGGGGAAAGATACTGCAAAGTCTCCATTCCCACCCCACTCCTGTGGGAAGGATATTGCAAAATCTCCATTCCCTCCCCATTCCTGGGGGAAGGATACTGCAAAATCTCCATTCCCTCCCCATTCCTGGGGGAAGGATATTGCAAAATCCCCATTCCCTCCCCACTCCTGTGGGAAGGATATTGCAAAATCTCCATTCCCACCCCACTCTGGGGCCAGCCAGAGGTGGTATTTACCAGTTCTCCGAACTGCTCAAAATTTCTGCTACTGGTTCTCCAGAACCTGTCAGAACCTGCTGGATTTCACCCCTGGGCCATTCAGTGTCCACCTGTGCCTTTACTCCCAAATTGGCCTTTGTTCCTTGACTGTTCCCTTCTCCTGGCAGCTCTGTGCATGCGCACATTGGGAACAGGCTCCAGCTGCTCTTCTGTCCCACTTATCGCCAACTCCGAAGATAGCTGATAACTGTCAAATGGCCCTGGCCCCATCTCTGCCTCCGACGCAGAGCCCTCATCAGAGCCTTCCCCAAACTCCAGGACTGGCCCACGTTCCTCCCCAACCTCCTCGTTGTCCGAGTTTGCCTCCAGCTCCGCTGGCCGCTGGCAGACCACAACACTACCATCGGGCAGAAGACACAGAAGCATAGCCAGCCGGACAAACAGGTTTAAAAACAGCTTCTACCCATAAGCTGTCAGACTCCTAACCATAATCACAATCACTCCATGCACATACGGAAACGTATGACTAGGGTTTTTTTTGCTCCAATTACTTGTTTAGGGATTATTCTCTATACTATTTATGCTGTTTTGTATTTTCTGTTATGGATTGCAACAGAGAGGATAAACCAGAGGTCTCCAACCTTGGCAACTTTAAGCCTGGCGGACTTCAATTCCCAGAATTCCCCAGCCAGCTTGCTGGGGAATTCTGGGAGTTGAAGTCCGCCACGCTTAAAGTTGTCAAGGTTGGAGACCTCTGGGCTAAACCAATTTCATTGTATATATGATATACAATGACAATAAAGGCTATACTATACTATATGATCTCCTTCCAATGAGCCAAGTCAAGGTGGAAGCCAGATTCACTTAACAAATATGGCAAGAAAACTCGTAAAAGTGACTTAACAAATTTCTCACTTAACAACATAAATGTTGGGCTCAATTGTGATCATACGTTGAGGACCAGCTGTATCTTTGAATCATCATTACCCAAATGGCTATGGCAGCAGGTCAAGGATTATCTGTATTATTTAATTCATATCAAACTTCCGTAAAAGCCTTCTGATACTTTGCTTCTCCGAAGAGGCCCTCAAATACTCCCAGTTCTTGTTTCTAGAATTTTCCAAGTCAATTTGAACATCAATGATCACCTGAGGTAAAATATCTTCCCTGATCAATACAGGTCGTTCTCGAATTATGACCACAATTGAGCCAAAAAAAAAATTTCTTTGCCAAGCAAGACAGTTGTGAGTTTTGACCTGTTTTCCCTGTTTTGCCCTGTTTTTCCCACACTTGTTAAGCGAACCACTGCAGTTGTTAAATGAATTATGCCATCATTGATACGGCTTCCCTGTTGACTTTACTTGTCGGAAGCAAGCTTACCAATGATGATTACATGACCCCGGGACACCGAACAGTCATAAATGACATGCCAGTTGCCAAAAGTTATGAGTCACTTCTTTTCAGTGCCGTTGTAATGTCAAACGGCCGCTAAACAAAACTGTTGTAAACCCCGGGTGACCTGTATCATTCTTTCAAAATGGAAGTTTGCGAGTTCCCAAGACAACTTTAAAATAATGTAGAGCCGAATGGAAATGGCATAACAAATGATCTCAGTGTCCTTCACATTTTTCCTTCATTATCCTTTGGCTGAAGGGCCACCTTCTCGTGATGGTTGGTGTCCACCAGACCTTATTATTTCACCCAAGAGCAACTGATGGGCTCCTCATGCACCCCATGATATTTTAACAGATTAATAGATTTAACAGAGTTGGAAGGGACCTGGTAGGTCATCGAGTCCAGAGGTGTCAAATTCAAGGCCAGCCGGCCAAATCCAGCCCGTGGGGGGCTTAGATCTGGCCGGTGGGACAGTGAAGGACCAGCCCGTGGTGCCTCTGCCAGCGAAAATGGAGCTTTCATTTTCACTGGTAGCGGAAATTTTGAGTAGTTCGGAGAATCGGCAAATACCACCTCTGGCTGGCCCCAGAGTGGGGTGGAAATGGGGATTTTGCAATATCCTTCCCCCAGGAGTGGGGAGGGAATGGAGATTTTGCAGCATCCTTACCCTGCCCCGCCCGCCAAGCCACACCACGCCAACCAAGCCACGCCCACAGAACCGGTAGTAAAAAAAAATTTGAATTTCACCACTGGTCTGAGGGAAGTCTTGCCTTAGCACTTGGCCACCACAGAAGCCCCTGACATGAGTCCTGTCGAGCTGGCCATACCCACCCTGGCCATGCCCAATCCCCCCAGGTCAAACACAACCATGATGTGGCCCTCAATGAAACTGAGTTTGACACCCCTGATCTAGTCCAACCTACAAGGTCCCTTCCAACTCTGCTAATTTGCATCACGTTCTACTCTCTCTGGCACAGAAGGAACAAATGAAACTATTCCTGTTAAAGAAAACACAATATTTTTTTAAAATGGAGATGAGATGGAAGGGATTTGGGTCTCCCCATCAAGCTACGAGACATATCATTAAATGCTTCCAAAATAGGATAACTCCAGGTCATCTATTCGGGAAGGATGCGATTGCGGCCATTGTCGACTAACCAAAACACAATTGTAATTTGCAAACAAAAATGAAACAAAGAAAGAAACAACAACAACAAAAGGAATAAAAATAAGTCCCCCCTTTCCCGTTATGGGGAAAAAAAGAGAGAGTGATGAAACACGACGAAGAGGGTGGGAAATGATCAGAAAAGTTATATAAAATGGAAGTACAATTTGTCAGTTTTCCTCTGCACGGAGAGAAAAAAAGAGGTTGATATTTTATTTAAAAATTGCTGAGACTTTATATTTAAAAAACCCTGATGATGATGATGATGATTTTGTTTTCCTTTGCTTAAATATTGCTTACCATGTAATGGTTAACACAGATGCCAGAAAGAGACAATAATTTTCCAGTTCCCTATTTCTTTGGACAGGGGCATAATCTCACAAGCTTGATTTATTTTTATTTTTTTCTCATGGAAAACCTGAACATCTCTGGAGCCATTCTTAAACTTGCACTGTCCTTCTTAAGAACCATTGCCAAATGTTTTGGTCAGGATAAATTCTGAGTTTTGCTGAATTCTTGGCGCATCAGAAACGTGATGCTAGGGTAAGATTCAAATTTCAGCATCTGCAAAATCAGATTATTTACCCAGGAGCACCAAAGCCCAGAGCAGAAAGGATTAGCAACCTCCTACACAATCTCAACCTGAGGGATTAAAAACATTTTTTTTGCAAAGTCAGATGCTTTTTGCTTTTCCCTCTGAAAGCAAAATTGGGAAGAAAAAACCGCTCGGTATCCTTGGTTCCCCAATCGCGTATGAGGCTTCTGACCTACGTTTCCTTAGAAAGCATAAACTTAGTCCCAGAAAACCTCTTTAATTCATACGGCTGTGAATTATTGTCACAGTCCGAAAGGCTTCTCAAACAGTCTTTCAGGGGAATGTTTATAAACACCCACCTTATCTACCTTGGAATGCTGCCAGAGAACTAATTGCCAAACGCAGGGCACGGCCAAACTTAGCACAGAGTCAAACAGAACTTTCCAAAACTTGAACCGACCAGATGAACTAATTGCTTCCTGCAAAAGCTCACGTCCCGTTCGCTCCTCTTTTATGTCTTATGGGAGGGGCCAATCATCTCCAAGCCTTACTCTCAAGTCGACCCTGTTTTCTTAATTGTTCTTGTCTTCTGACAGTTCTGGTAATGCACACACTGGGAACAGGCTCCCGCTGTTCTTCTGCCTCGCTGATGTCAGACTCCGGAGGCAGCAAATATCTACCAGATGGCCTTGGCCCCCTCTCTGCCTCCAACTCAGAGCCCTTGTCTGAGCCTTCCCCAGACTCCAGGACTGGCCCACGTTCCTCCCCAACCTCCTCACTGTCCAACTCTGCTGCCAGCTCTGCTGGCTGCTGGTGGACCGCAACACACAGGACGGAAGGAAGTTTTTCAAATGACAAAAACCAAAGCAGAGAAAG